GTAACATGCCATGTAGCATCTTGAGATAGCAACAATACAACATTGCTGAAGGAGGGATCTCTTTTACCCCCCCTTTTTTTTCCGGAAATGAACAAACACATGAGAAAAAGAGCAGGGGAAAATAGAAACAACATGATAGCATTAGATTGACATAGAATCATATGCACTTAAAAGATAATTAATGCATTCTAAACAAGCAATTAATTTGTTCTTTGAATTAAAATCGGATATCACCAACTATAAAAGAAAACAGAGGACAGAAGAGGAAGAAAACAGAGAAGAATTAGGGCACATGGAATGGACGGGCAATGATCGAGTCAACAAAGGGAGATGGAACCGAAGAGGCATTCTTTTGTTAGGTTGTGGTACGGGATCGGACCTTTCTTGGCCGGCGGTGTCCCAGATCTGGGCCTTGACGAGCTTCTCGTCGACACGGATGGTGCGGGTGGCGAACTCAACGCCGATGGTGGACTTGGACTCGGAGCTGAACTCGTTACGGGAGAAGCGGGAGAGCAAGTTTGTCTTCCCCACCCCGGAGTCTCCGATCAGCACCACCTTGAACAGGTAGTCGTAATCCTCGTCCGCCTTGTACGCCATTATCACTCTCCTCCTCCTCCCTCTCTCCTTGTATTAATCCCACAGAATAGAAGAAGAAAGACGTCGTCGGGAGAGAGAATGGGAGGACGAGAAGAATGGATCGAGGGAGAGGAGAGAGCGAGAGGGAGGCCGGGGGACGCCGAGCTTGACGATGGAAGGGGATGGTTCGTTGGCTGGGAGTTGGAACGAGAGAGGGAGTTCTTTTGACGGGGTCTCTTCGGAAACGGTAGCTGACGTGGAAGGTCGTTAGGAGCTATAATTTTACATGTGTTTTCTTTCTTTCGGCCTTTTTTATTCGCTACCCCTCAACCCACTCGTTCTATGATTGGATTAGAGACGTGGGTCCACAGATCACACGCGTAAGACGCGAATGCCTTTGTTTTCGAAGAAAAGTCATTTTCTTGTTTTACCCTCTCACATACCAGCGTCTTTATTGGATATAATTTAGGTGGGCCTCACGTGAGCTCCGACGACCTCAAGAAATCGGACCCGTGAAAGCCGAAACACGGTGGGAACGTGGAACCGTCTCATTGGGGGCCCACAACAGCCTGGTCAACCAATAGCGCCACTCTTCCTTGTTGACCCAAACTCCCAGTCGGATGTCTACGTGGCATAATTATCAAACCTTACTATATATAGTATGAAATCTAAAACAAGCATGTTTGCAAGTCAGATTAGAAATAGCATATTTTATATTAAATATTTAAAAAAGATTTTCTAGCAGAAACAATTTTATTTCTGCATTATTTATTGACATAATCTTAAGTTTTTTTTTTTCATTTCAACTTGAAAGTGCTAGGATCTTTTTTTTTTCTGAACTTTTGAATACTGTTTATTGAGTTTGTTTAGTCTAGTTGTTTATTGAGTCAATTTGATTCAACTAGAGTCAAGTAGAGATTTATTTAATATTTATTTATTATTAGAGTTCAAGTCCTGATGGGTTCTGGGTGGAACTCTATAAATAGAGATGTAACTGTTTCTTTTCAGTAATCTATAAAAAATATTATTTTATCTTTTGATAAACCCTAGGAGTTCGATCCCCGCAAAGCGATCAAGGAGGGCCGATCCCAAGCGCCGATCCCAAGCGATAAGGAGGCTCTTATCATTTGGTATCAGAGCGACGATCCTTAGCGTTGTCGTTGTCGTAGTTATCAAAAAAAACAAAAAAACAACAACAGGGCACCCCTGCTTCCGGCCAGCCCACCCGCCGCCCGTCGCTGCTCTCCGGCCAGCAACCGACTCTGCCCCACTTCCGGCCAGAGTTCACCGCCGCCTCCCACCCGAGCCACCACCGCTGCCAGGAGACGACGCTGCCAGCGTCCAACTCCGCCGCAGCCCTGCTCCTCTTCTCTACCGCCGCTGCAGGGCAACTCCTTCTCCATCGCCGCCGCTGCTTCCCGGCCGATCGATCACCGCCGCCCGCCTCCCAGCCGCAACCCTAGCCGTGCCCCCCCCCTTGGGTCGCAGCCGCAGCCCCTCGTTGCAACGCTTGCAGAAACAGAGTTCCTCTGTTGCCGCAGCCCCTCGTCGATCGCAGCCGCGCCTCCACCAGCCGCGCCGCCTCCAGCACTCCTCTTCCCCTCCAGCGCCGTCGCCGCCCAGCCGACCCATCACCGCTGCAGGCCACCGTGCGACGACCGCCACACGCCTCCCAGCAGCCGATCCTCCTTGCTCTGCATCCGTAGAGCCAGAAACAGGGCAACTCACCGGTTGCCCTTGTTCCCAACCGTGACACCGGCGACTCTTCCTTCTCCACCGCTGCCGCTGCTTCACGGCAGCACGATCACCGCCGCACCGCCGTTTCCAGCATCGCCAGCGGCTCCGGCTGTGGTGCGATAGAAACAGAGCACCCTGTTTCCCATCTCGAGCATCGCAACTTCCCGGCCAGCGACGACGCTCGCTGCCTTTTTCTCCACTGCCAACGCTGCGCTCCGGCCAGCGACCACCGCTGCTGCCAGCCACCGCAGCCTTCTCCTCAACCGCTCGTGATCCTTCTGGCCAACTCCTTCGGTGGTGCGATAAAAACAGAGTACGCAGCAACCAACACGCAGCAACAAAAACAGTGGCACCCTCTGCTGCCGTAGCCGCCGATTGTAACCACCGTCGTCGCTCCCGGCCAACGACCAACCCCTCGTTCTGCAGCAGCCGCCCTCGAACAGCGAACGCAGCAACCGCAGCAAGTACGCTGCCTTGCCTCAACCCCAGCAGCATACGCAACACCGATTCCTCTTCTCAACCTCGGCCACATCAACGCCGCCTCCCCCTTGCTTAGCATATTCTGCCACAATCACATGTTGCCATCACCATAGGTTGCCATCACCGCAGCGTCAACCCCGTTGCTCGACGATCGCCCCTTGGGTCGCAGCAGCTATAGCCACATCAACGCAGTCGCCTTCCAACCCCGACGCTTTCACCTCACGCAGTGATAGAAACAGGGCAGCTACTCTTCCTCCAGCGCAGAGACCGCAGCACTACCCTTGGCGTCCACCTCCTCGACAACTTCGCATCGAAAGTGTTGATGCCCTTGATTGACACCAAAAACAGGAGTTGAGAACCTACTGGAAATCAGAATTGAGAACCGACTGTAAGAAACACTTAATGATTTCGTAAAGAGCCTACTGGAGAGCCTTAGCAAATTTCAACAAACTAGGGGCTCAAGTTCTACGTTGCACAGATCTGAAAATACAAGAAAAGAGCCCCAAGATTGTGACACAAATTACTCACACATGAAGATGGAATTTCCGAGATCGATAGATGGAGATCCGACCAATTGGATCTCTAAGGCAGAAATTTTTTTCGTTTTCACATAACCCCAAAAGAATCCAAGGTAGAAGTGGTCTCAATCCAGCTCGAGGGAGATGCACTCCAGTGGTACGATTGGTATGAAACTTTCCACGGAGTTTCTTCGTTGGAGCAGTTCAAAAGAGGGCTTCTTGTTCGCTTTGGCCCATCCGAATATGAGAATGTTGATTGCCAACTCGTCAAAATTCATCAGACTTCTATAGTGCTAGAATATCAGAGTAGGTTTGAAAGATTGTCAAATCAAGCTAGAGATTGGTCGGACCGACAACTTCTGGATACATTTATTGAAGGGCTTATTCCAGAGATCCGGTGTGAAGTTAAGGCTCGTCAACCCCATACTATGATAGCTACGATCTCATTTGCAAATCTACATTAGAAAAAAATTAGCAAGGAAAGATTAGCAAGGGGTTTGTATTATGATGAAAAATGGAGTATGGAGCACCAATGTAAACAAGGGCAACATATGATGATTGAGCCAATTGGAGAGGAACCGAAAGCAAAAGAGTTGGACTCCGATTATGAAGGTGTGGAAACTGATGAAGATATTGAAGCCATCACACATAAAGTGCATGCATTGGCTAGCTATGCTAACCCACAAACTATGAAAATCAAAGGAACTTTGAAGCATCAGCCTATCACTATGTTGATTGATACGTGCAGCACTAATAATTTTATGGACAGGAAAGTTGCAACCCGATTAGCTTACCGCATTGAAGGCTGTGACAGATTCGAAGTAAAGATTACTGATGGACGAATTTTAACTTGTGATAGCAAAGACCAGGAGTTTCTTGCAATGATTACTACACTAAAAGATCGATCTGTTGCTTAAATTGTCAAAAAGTGGAGATCATACTTACTTGATCAACGGGTTGTGATGCATTGCAGATAGCCTATGATTGAAGTGCTGAAAGAGAAGCTCCCCGAGATTGATGCTGCTCAGCCTTGAGGACAAGGCCGATTTGAAGAGGGAGGAACTGCTATGACCCTTTTTTTGAGCTTTTGAATAATGTTTATTGAGTTTGTTTAGTCTAGTTGTTTATTGAGTCAGTTTTGTTCAACTAGAGTCAAGTAGAGATTTATTTAATATTTATTTATTATTAGAGTTCAAGTCCTGATGGACTCTGGTTGGAACTCTATAAATAGGGATGTAACTACTTCTTTTTAGTAATCTATGAAAAATATTATTTTGTCTTTTGACAAACCCTAGGAGGTCGATCCCCTCGAAACGATCAAGGAGGGTCGATCCCCTCGAATCGATCAAGGAGGGCCGATCCCCTCGAAGCAATCAAGGAAGCCGATCCCCTCGAAGCGATCATTATCATCCCCATTTCTCCTCTTTCTCTTTTCTTTTTTACGATAAGATTTGAGTCTTACAATTTGGTATCAAAGCGACGATAAGACTTTAGGGTCTTATCAGAAAGATAGATAGCATCTTTCCAACTACACAGTAGTATTTTAGGTGTTTTCAGCATTTGAAAGATGAAAAGAATATTTTCATTTCCTTTTTCTTACTAATCAAATTATTTTCATTTGCTTTTCAGAGAAAAAAAAAGAGAGTTAAAAATCATCTTAACCGAAGACATCAGCACGACAACATGTGAGATGGGCTTAGACATCATCCCCTGCCTTTCTATTTCATGACAGATATCAGACACCAAATTAAAACATGTTTTTCTTTTAACAGTGTAAATAAAATAAATATACAGAAGCAAAGAGAAGAAGAATCAACACTATATATATATAACAAGCATCAAACAAAATTTTTAACAGCTATTACACCGAGAAGAAGCATCCGCTACTGTTGTTTACATATCAACATATGGCAAACACACTTGTCTATAACTGGACTTTGGTTCTGCCATGGAATCAAAGATGACAGACATTCTGTGCAGTTTGCAACATTAGCAGACTATATATTGCCTTTCTTGTCATCTTCAGCACTGACAGTTACCTTATGGCTACATGGAGCAATACTAATGGGCAATCCCCCTATAACAAGTGGATCATCCACCAAACCATCACTTGAGGAGTTGGTTCCCTGAGAATTATCTTTATCTTCAGCTCCTGGTGACTGAACCTCTTTTAGCTTGTCGGACTCCTTCCTGCTCAGCACGCTCTTTAGACTCTTGGATGATTTGCTTATGAAGTTCTTCGGTGTCTGCAGCATACTACTGCCTTTGCCTGGGCTTTCTCTCTCGCTGATCTCAGAGTTGCATCTCTCCTCATCCAGCTTTGGCACTCCATTTTTTTCATCAAAGCCGTCAGGCATTATGACCTTGATCGACGTCCGCTTCTCCCCGATCGGCCACAGGTTAGGTGGTGGTGGAGGAGGAGCAACCACCTCCTGACATTGTCGGGGGCTTCCTTTCCTGGGACTTCTATGGAATACAGAACTCAACTTGTGCAGGCCGTTTTTGATTATTTTAAGCCGGGGTTTCTTTCCATCTGCAGATTCTTCATTACTGCCAGAATCACTTTGTTGAGACCTGGATGATGATGATCGACTTGGGCTTTTAGTGGAGCCATTGTCCTCCCGATGGAGTCGGGTATCAGGGTATCGAGCACGCCCCTTTCGAGGCTCCCATTTTTGGGAGACATCGCTCCCAGGACGATGCACCCATAATCCTGTCTTTTCTTGCCCTTTAATATTAATGGGCTCAAACTCATCAGCCATCTTATGATGATGATATTCTTCCGCGTTAAGTTTCTCAGCCTTTTCATCTGACCTGCTCGTCATTGGTTCCGTCGTATTTGATATTATTTCTTCATCACCGAGATCTTTCTGCTCCTATAAAAAAAAGTTGGTGTTTCAAGCCAAGATAGATTATCAAGCTTTCTTATTATCCACAAGGGTTGTCAAACATTGCAGCTGGCTTACCTTCTGTAATTCCTCTTCCAGTACAGTAATCGCTAGGTGGATCCTTCCCATTTTGACATTTTGCAGTGACAGCCACATATCATGCCTTTGTCCACCCCTCAGATCATTGATGTTCACAGAACAGTTTCTGCAAGGCACATGAAAACCAGACTAATTAAAATCTGAATGATCTTAGTAGACATCTAAAATAAACAGAGTCAACAAATAGAATCAACTTTTTAACTTGCATTATGTTTAACACAGTCAATGATAACACCCTTTTCTTTACTTGAAACAATTGATAGGATTCTCAAAAAAGAACAATAGGTCGAGACAAGTAAACATATCTTCTGAAGAACAAGACAGATTTATGTTCGTCTTCTAAAGACTGCTCAAGTTACATGTGGATGGTCCATGAACCTTAAATTATTTATGATTTTTAGACAAACAGATAACTGTGTGTTCTTTATGGGCAGCTGTGCTTTCATCTACGAGTAACTGATTAGCCAGACCTTTGAGCTCTCAAATAAATTAAAGAAACCCAGATTTTTCATGATTTTGCACATAAATAACATGTTTGAAATCTGAACGAACCCAAGAATGTCATCAAAAATGGTATCCTTATCACGAACTTGAAGAACGAGTACATTGGTTCCCTCCCATGAACTGATGGGGATCTTGAACTCCTCCAACCACTTTGGAGACAATGTTTTCCGTTGGATCTTTGTCTGGAATCTGTAAGGTCCAAGGTGTCCCTTTACATATGGATCAGAAAGTCCTGCAACATAGTTTTGGTAATAAATCAGAGAGACTTCGTTTCCATAATAACATCAGACGTTTCTCTCCGAAGGAAAAAGATAAAAAGAAGCATACCATTAAAATCAGATGGTTTCATATCAGCCCCTTCTAACATCTCCAATTTCGCATATCCAATAGGAGGCTTCACATTGACAGTAAACCAACCTTCTAAAATTTTTAAAGAATATATAATTCAGAAAATCATTCAAAAGTAGAATAAAATAAGACAAGTCAGTTTTCAATTGCTGAATAGCATGAAAATGGAAAACAACAGGTTTTTTTTGTCCCTTAAAGATGCCATATCTTTTGACACTACAACCATGGTAAAGTAATCACTCTTCCAGTTAACATCTTGGTCTCCTCAAAGTTTGTAAACCACATGTTAATATTTAACCATTGAAGTTGCAAAACATAATATTCTCTATAATATGAATAGATAATCCAAAATAATATTCTTTACTTAGCAATTAAAGCTGGATAAATGCGATGATTTCTACTGTCATTTACCTTCAGGAGCCAAAACAAATTTCTCCACATCAATAACCAGCATGTTTGGCTGCAAGGAAATATAAATATTAGTTATATTTGGCAGATAAATTACTTGTAAAATATATAATAGGTATTATAATCAATACCTCCTCAAGGAATTTTATTTAGAAAAGAATGTTAAATCTTTTGATTTAACATAAAATAGATGTATGATATAAACCAATTTATAATTAATGAGACTAATACAATGATCTTTCTTTGTTTTTGAAGTTCTTCAAATCTTCTCTTCGTTTTTGAAGTAGCATATTACTAAAAATTTCTTTTTTGAGAAATGAACTATGGACGTTAGTCAATTGGTTGTTATTACTTCTCAAGGTAACTAACTACAAATTCTAACATAAATAAACATCAAGCATTCCTATATATAATATACTATCAAAACAATTTTTACCATCATATCTGTCCAGTTAGTTCTTTTCAAGATTTGACATATAAGTACACATCCACCTATTGTACTTGTATCCATATCCATCTTACAGAAGTTTTTATATTCACCAATCTATATTAATATATTTGTTATTTCTTGAGAAACGACTTCCTAGTTACTTTTTAGAAGAACAAGCTATATGTACGGAGGAAAAACAAAAAAGAACAGAGAAGACAGCTATGGAGAACCAACTTACTGACCTCAACCAATGTCTGCCCAAATGCAACATCGAGCAACTTATCCTAAAATCAAGCAAATGAAAATATTTAATTGAAAAAAATGTTCATTGGATCTGATACCTACTTAAAAGTGGAGTCAACCACTTGTTTCTTACTAGCCATCCTGAAATTCCAGGTAGTTCAGTAACATCAACTCCATGTCCAAATATTGGTTTTACTGTCATCTGAAAATATGGGGGCTCTGCAAAGCATAGCCTGACTCGTCCAATAAATGGCCATTGCCGAAGAAACTTTACTCCCACCAAAACCTACAAAAAGAAATTTATATATTTATGTCAAAATAGCCTCCATTAAAATTTGATAATAACCTATCAATTTGTTCTGTATTTTCTTTTACATTCTCGATTTGTTTCTTTTATTTCTCATTTACACGTCAGAAATCTGACATTGTTACTAGAATAAATAAAACAGAAGCTCATATAAAAGAGACAACCATCTGTCATTCAAATCCCAAAAACAATATTTCATTCGGATCCGTATTTTCTTGTGGAGATACTGCATCTGGAATTTCTTGTGTATTACAGCTCCATGAGCATAAAGAGAAGGAAGGAAAGGGGAGGGATGGGGTGTTGCTGCCAAAGAATATCATCAAAGACATCTCTGTGACATGTGAATTTGAATATCTAGAGAACATTTGGACTCTATTTTAGTTTCCTTGTCAAACAAACATCAGAAAAGTTATTTTTTCATGTGAAAACAAATTTTAAGAGAAACCAAGCACACCTTAAAATGAATTTTGGAAATGCACTATGAGCAACACTTATCTGTGCAAGTGCATTGTTGCTTGCAGAGCAGGAGATAGATTTTTGTACCTTTCCCTCAACATGCATGCCTGTGATATGCATATTCGCTGTTATCCCAAATCCCAGTCTTTTCCTCAGCTGCACCGCAAGTTTTGCACTCATATCATCTGCTGAAAGAAAAGTCATTCCCAACTCTAGAACCTGTATCACACAGCTAGAACACTAAATAATTATACATGATAAGTGGCATCTGGTATCTGTTGCAAAAGAAAGAGTATGGCATACCAAGTGATCATCATCTGATGATTCACGAAGAACCCTTGCATCTATAAACATAGGTGGGTTCCTACCCAAGTAAAGATGCTGCATAACGGCTTTCCGCTGCAAAAATACAAGGCATACAATTAAATATTAATATATATCACAGAAAACCTTTTATAAAAAAAAGTATGAGCCTATCACAAGACCAACATTTCCAACAATAATTTTCACCATATGGAAACTTATTAACTGCCCAGTCTAGACAAGTAATTTATGCAGCAACTACATTCTAAAGATGCCCTCGAAGTTCATCATAAGAAACTAAATGCATCACAATGATGATACTTTCTTGATAGTATCAACAATTAGAGTAGAAGAAGTCATAGTTGTAAAGTCCATACAGCTGTCCAAGGCTTGAACTTATCCAGAAACCATGGTATGATAGGCAAGAGAAATTGCTGGGATGCAATTTGTTCCATGCATACAGGCCATATCTTCTCAATAGCATGATTTAACCACCTGACTGATTCTGCATCAGAGAGAAGCTGCCACACCAAAAATAAATAAAAATGATGATAATAGCACATAATTTGAGGTATGTGGAACTTTGGACTAAAATGTTATTAAGAACCAGAGAAAAACTATCAGTAAATGAGAACCAGCAGAACACAAAAGAAACGCATGTAATATTATGGCAGAGGAAACACAATCCAAAGATCAAAATATGAGAGTATATCATGCATACTCTTCGCTGGTTGGCAAATTTTCTTTCCTCAAACTGCAGTCGCTTCTGCAATCTCAGTGTATAGCGTTCATTTACCTGGAGTATAACAAAGAAATCATGACACAAAATAAGCATGTATTAACATGATCGAACATATATAGCTTATACAGTAAAAACAGAGACTCTCAAAAAACTGAAAAACAAGAGTGTGAAATCAAGATCACAAACATGGGAACGAAAAGGTGAAAATACATAACATCCAAATAAATGGAAACAGAAACAAAAAAATAACAAATCAAGAAATTGATAAACCGGTGGCCTATGTTGGACCAGCAAAAGCAACCAAGCACACGATGCTGGATAACAAAACCAGCAATCAGTCCTTGGTTCCCATGGAACGACAAGACAATAGGTCATAATCAAACAAAGATTACTAAGCCAATGTGAGAACTCCTATAAAGTTTGGGCATCATCTCCACTTGTGAGTTGTTTTGTTGAAACACAAGGACAGGAATAGTAGGAGAAGCAGGTAGGCTTTTTCATTTTTATGGAATTTTTTATATAGTCCATGATTTCATCCATAATTTTCACCCACTAACTCAGCTGGCATTAACGATCAATACACCAAAAGTACCGAGAGGTCCAACCAAGGACCAGAGGCTTATGGGTGTGCAACCAGTAAGGCAATCTTCAGATGATGAATTGTTGGTAGTTACTATCTAAACCAAGCATATAGCTAACATTCTTTGCCTGGTAAACTTATTTCCAAGAATTTGCCTGTATGTCTTGATTGACTATCTTGGAAACAATGGCCAGAAGCAAGCCCAGATTTGCTCAAGAAACAATGGCCTCTGTTCCTGACTATCTTGGAACATACTGAGACCAATTTCTGAACTTCTTGATACCATGGCTTACGTTCCCCAGTAGTTCCAAGACTGTTGGCAAAGTATCATAACTTCAGTTCCACAATACCAAGTCAAAATGTCAATCAATGGGCAAAGTATCATAACACTTTGCATCAATGGGCAAACAAAAGAATCAAAATGCGAAAGTTGTTGCATCTCTAGTATCAACTTTGACAAGACTGCAACTAAGAAGATCATATGATACGCTCACAAGGTAGTCCCTCAATGTCTTAAATCTAGCTTGCCCAGTTTGGATGTCACGTTCAACAGTCTATATCAATCATTAAATTCCATGTTACAAACAACATAATTTACTTTTATTAATCATTATTTATGAAATTATCCCTTTCTTAAACTAACTTGAAGCGTAAGACGCCCACTGCAATCAACCACGATGGGATCCCACTCCAATATCTAATATTTTTAATGTAGACAATTTTCATTGTTTAGATATCAAGAACATGTAGAATTTCATAAAGAATTCTTTAGCACATGGCATAAAATTAATTCACATCATACCAACTGCATTTCATACAACCGACCAACCCTAATCAGCCAATCGTTGCAAGTCTAACATCACAACAGAAAGTAAAAGAAGAAAAAAGGAGAAAACTTTCTTCCGAAATAAACACGAGGAATTAAAATCCAACACAGGAGGATCTAAGCACAATCAACGGTCAAATTTCTTGGTCTTCTTCTCACCTTGTAGAGATACAACAGTGCCACAAAGAAGACGACCGGGTGCCCCTTGCCCAACTGCACGAGAACCCAGAGCAGTAGCAGCACCAAGGCGATGTGATGCACGATCGTCACCTCCGTGATGTCCATCCTCCTCTTCCCGGTGTTGTGCGATTCGGGGTCCGCGGGCCCAACTCAGGCATCCGCAAGCACCCGATCCGGCTTACTAAACCCCGTGGCGGTATCTCAAATCGGTGGGTTTTGCGGGGAGGATACGGAATTCGGTGGGTTCCGCGGGGGCGAACAGAAGCACACACAGCAGAAGGGTAGAGAGTCGAAGAGCGACCGCGAGAGCGAGAGCGAGAGAGAGAGAGGATAACGCTTAACGGCCCCTCGAAGCGTGAGTACATTGACCTTAAACCGAACCGTCGAATAGACGACGGGGACGACGCATGGAGCGTTCCTCCTGGTCACGACTCACGTGACGACTCGCGGATGCGCCGCGCATCAGACGGCGCATCGCCCTCCGTCGTGAGTGGGTCCCGCGCGGGCGTTGCATTCCATGGGCTGGAGAGAGCCTCACTGGACGCGTATCGCACGGCAGATTCAGCGAACGTGGCAGGTGAGAGGCCCTTCCTGGCTTGTCGGCAGTGTCGCGACGTGGAGGACAGGCCATCGCTGTGGCCTCGGCCGTCTGATCTCCATCAGAGGGCCGGGTGCAGGGGATTGACAACCGGTCCATACTGGAGGGCTTTAGGTGGGCTCTATTAATTTGGTCGCATCAGAATACACGTTACAGTCGAGATGATTGACCATAGAATAATGGTTTAATGCTCGTAATCGCCTATGACAAGGAAGGAAGCACGTCCATCTGCATCGCTGTCGCGAGTACCAAATGATTCAAGGGTGAGACAGCAACGGATGACGGCTGCGACGAAGGGGAAGCGAGACGAGCAAACGGAAGGTGATCATCCATGAGAGTCAGTTATTAGACCGATTGGGCTAATAGGCCTGCGCATTATGGGCCTTATTGGGCTTTAAGCCAGGCTAAATTACGGTTCTTCGCATGTGGCATACGTTAAGGATATATATCCACTAGTTTAGTTGATAAAAAAATTTATAATATATTATAAAAATAATATATATATATATATATAATATAATATATTTCATTAATCGAGTCCCTCGTGTGGCTCTTAGTAAGTCAAGTACCAATAAAATAAGGTAATGACACTTTCCATGTGAATTTTTACCCAATCAATTTTAATACGATGAATATTCACCCTTCCCTGACTATATACAATTAAGGGCTACTATTCTTATGAATACAAGCCATTTCAGATCTAGAAAGCTTTCTTATATTATTTTATTTTTACGTAGGTATTTACTAACTTAAACATTGGAAGAGTGTCGTTGAGTATATTCTTAGTACAAGTTTGACAGAAATGCTCAAGTTATTACTCCTCGTCGAAGAATTCAACTTAAAACTTACGTCGATACAATTACATTAGACTAGCTCAAAATTTAAGCTTGACTTCATAAAAAAAAAAGTGTGCTAAATTAAGTTGACTCTATATGAAGTCAGATGAAAAAAATCAACATTACCATTAATATATATATATATATATATATATATTCCATAAAATATCAATGTTAGTATTTTTTACATTACTTTAAATATTAAAAAAAAGTTTGGAGTTAATTTTCTCCTCTATTACATTACTATAGCTGTATATCCTTTCCCTATCTTATCAACTGGAGGTGGGTCTTTGACAGTACTTCCCAAATAACCATCTTTTCTCTTACAAAATAAATTTGATTCTTAAATTCTTACCTAATGAACCTAAGCTACTTCTTTGTTAATTTAAATCTAAAATACTAATTTAATTCTCAAACTTAATGAGGCTCAAATACTAATTTAAATCTTCCCATAGAGCTATCAATTAGCATGGAGAGATATAATATAGGACATATGCTTATCTTATCCGATCCAAATTGTCCACAGTCCAGTATCTTTTCAATAAACAAAATGTATATATAATTCAGGATGATTTCATCGAGTTATTAAATGAATTATGGTTTACAAAAGAATGCATATGATACTTTGGTTTTAGCAAAATGTGGTTGGAATTGGATTGATGACATAAAAATGATGAAGAGAGGAGAAGCAAAGGTCATTGGTATCAGTCAGAAACACTAAACACATATTGAGACCTTTGCCACTATGAAACATAAGTGATGCCAAATTCCCATTTAATCAGATTGTTCCCTTTCTGATTTGCATAAGAATAAAATTATTGGTTGAATTGTAGGAAAAGAAAGAGAAAACATATTTTTTCTTTTCTCCTTTTTTGTTTCAATACAAGAGTAAATATATAGATAACTTGATCAAACAAAGCACTACATCATTGCAAGTGATTAAACTATTTTAATGCAAGAGATTGGTTTAGCTAATAATAAGCACACAGATATCAAAGTAATCTAATTGATATCTCCCTTCTATCTCTACCATATTCTCGCTCACAATACCCAAGTCCTCAACTCAACACAGACCATGACTACACCTTCCATTTAACATCATAGATTGGAGAAGGTGAGGATTGGCCTCACTGTATCACAGATTCATAGGCAACCAGCTATCACTACTGTGAAACCGAGCTTTACGAGAGACAGAAGCGAAGAGGACAATAAGCAAAGCAACAGCAGATGAATCTGCACAAGGATCGGACACTGCAGACTGCCGGAATCTTTGCAGTCAGATCCATGGAGGAATGCGCATCCTGGTCGTATCAGCTTGCACCATCACTGCGGAACTTGAGATCAGTGCTTCGTCGACCCTCTGGCATTTGGTGTGCCAGTCTACTCTATCGCATACTGTTCCAGCTCGGCTCCTGCTACGTCTCCACCGAAAAGATGGATGTCATAGTCAGCTGGGAAAACCTGGTGGTGACAGAAACCCTACTCACATGTCACGATCTCTTGATGTGAGATATGCATCCCTTTGTGATTCTTGATGCTTGCTGCTGCAGAAGAAGGCTTGCAACTTCCCTTGGTTCCTTCTATTCTTTCCTTCACCGAGGTCAGCAGGAACCTGTGAAGCAAAAAGCCTTCAGGAGTGCGAGCTAAAGATCGAAGATCGATCAACAAGAAGGAATAAGATGGATCGAGTGATGGGAGGATCTTGCGCAGGACCGCGCAGCCTGGCCATAAACCAACGCATCGCTGTCCAAACCTATCGCCCGCTCTTTCCATGCCTTCTCCATCGGTATCTGCTGATGGATAGATGAGCACAGCGATGCGATGTCATATGGAAGTGTTGCGCGGTCTTGAGCAAAACCATCTTACCCTCGCCATGTCTTCTCACCCAACCCAACCTCGCCAACCCTGCAACAACAAGGTATCAGAAAAACCAAGACACAAGCCAAAGCAGTAATAGAGAGAGAGAGAGAGAGATAGAGAAAAGGATGGAGAAGAGGCAAAACACTGTCGAGGGAACACGAACAAGAAGAAGCGAGATCTGTCTTGTGAGGAGTGAGTCTCTGCAAGGGTCTTGTGCATAGAATTTATAGAACTACAGTGCAAGACAGACCGACGACTCCAGAAAACACAGCCATACATACAAGACTTTCGTCCAACTTTACTGACAAATCCATTCGCAAACACTTACTGCTCGTCAAATCTTGGTTCTGCAAGTTCTTAGTCTGTAGATGAGGAACTGGTTTAGCTCGAAGCTCATACATGAAGGATATAAATAGATTCATGAACCGTGGCCACCCTCGTGCTTTGAATAGCGTGGTTTAGGGCAACAGTGACGTGCTCCGGCTCCACACAGAGAGGCCATTGCCGTATACAGCGGAAGTAAAGATCGTATCCCCACTATTTTGACGTCAAAGGAGTAATTTCTTGCCCTTCTGTGCGCGGGGAGCAGATTAGGAGAGATGAGATGCGGTGCTGCAGCTGCACTGAGCAGCTCTGACACCAGCTTTCAAAAGGTTTGCACGTTAAAGCTTGTCATGCCATTTAAACCCCTATCTTCCCTCCCCCCTTTTCTTTCTCTGAGAAGGAAGGAGGAGAAGTAATGGGCCAAAAGGGGATACTATGAATAGCTTGTACTTGATGACTGTTAGAGAGGGAGGAGTAGCATTTCCCGCAAAGACTGTGAGAGATTTATTGGTGGGGTGGCAGAGCTTTTTATGATGCATTTTAAGGGTTACACATGTTAAAAGGAAAAAGCTGGCCTTCAGTCACCCTTCAAGCAACCTTCCCCTTTTATGAAGGCCTTAACCATGGAAGGAGGACCCAAAGGAACTCCTGCTTGAGTACTAAAGGACATCTGGGGACTCCTAAGCATTGAATCCTTTACCTGTAAGCTGTATGATTACAACCCATCGAGTGCATCCCTCACTACCATTTAAGCTATGCATCACCGGTGAAATGAGCTGGTCCTCCCTCCACCTCGAGATCTTTGGTCACTCATGGCCTTAGTAGGAAGAGCATTAGCACAGTAACAGTGGAGGCTTACTGGATCCTCTCCTCCTCCTCCCCCTCGTCCCTATGGAGAGTGATTAGTGATGTCCAAGTCGAGAGAGGGGCTGTGAAGGAGGACGACACATGCTGATTCCGAGAACCAAAATCCACTGAGGTTTGCTCGATCGGTGATTGACATCGATGTCTTATTTTGCCCGCATCGAAGTTTGACATGGCTAAACATCGGAGCTAATTAATCATAGTGAGAAGATTCAAGACATATTTATATATGAGAAAAGAAATCACAGAATAACATTGATCTCTCAAATAATAAATAAAACATATTTAGGTTTGTTCATTTGCAAATGGAAATTAACACTTTAGTGAGAAGATTCAAGATTTGCAAGTATGATTGAAGAAACAGATGGCAAAAGAAATCACAAGTGTGGGTTTTGAATGCCAATATAAATCCAGAGGTCATTGCCATGCCACGCCATGCCGGGGAAGAGCTGCCACCCCAATTTCCAGTGAGAAGGAGAGGCCGGCGGACGCCAACGTCGGCGGATGGGATGGGCGCATCAGCAGCGTCCAAAGCCCACATCATTTCGCGAATCCCACCACCCGGAGAGTCACGACAAGGAACGAGAACAGTGGCACGAGGTGGCGGCCCCACCGATCCCGTACCACCACCTCATTTCGAAGCATCTGCGACGGACATCTCCACGTCGCTCTCGGTCACCTTCCTCGGCAGGAACGCGGCAGCGGAAGCTTAATCATGGAGTTAATTATCCCCACTTGTTCTAAATATGTGTTGGTTATCCAAAGCGACAGCCAAAAAGGAGGAGGGCGGCAGTGGTGGGCTCCACCGCCCACCACCCACCCACTGTGCTAATGAGTGACGCATGGCCATCATGTGCGTCATTCACACATGCCCATGCTTTTAAGCCCATGAATCGCTTGGGGAATACCCCCCTCCCTCCATAGGGTAAACTGGTCTAATTATAATATTTTTATGCTATTGTTTTTATTATATTGTTGAAAATATTATACTCTAACATAGTATAAAAATATTGTAATTGGACAAATTCACGGATTGGTCCATAGGAAGAAAAGGAAGAAAAATAGAACCAAAAAAATTAAGGATATTTTAAATATTAAATAAAATATTATTTAAAAAGTCTGAAGGACACTTCCTTGAAAATGACTTTAAAAAAGTAATTTTTAAAAATTTTCACTCATTAAGTTTCATCATAAAATAAATAAATAAATAAATATGGCTTAAAGTAATCGATAACAAAATAAAAATATAAAATTTATATGTCAACGTCCATATAGAAATATATATATTTTTTATCACACGCAAATAATAATAATAAAATAAAATTCTCTTTCAAATTTAAATTTAAAGTCTCTTGTATATTCCCTCATATAATATCTTTACATATTTTCTAAAACCAATTGTAGTAATAGTAAAACTATTTTTCCTTCTCAAATATATATGATAATCATAAAAAAAAAATAGTCTTTTCAAACTTAAATTCTTCGTACTTTAGGTAACTTACTATAGGAACAACTTAAGAAAGTCAAAGAATCTAATATTTATTTATGCTTCGATTTGAGATCAATTATTGCTATGACTACGATCACATCCATCTTACACTCGTGTGTGTGCGTGTGAAAACACAAGTACGTGACTTCGACGTATCAACCTCTCCTGCCCGAGCCGGGGAAGGAAAGAGCATCACTCCCTATCATTGCCGTCCATTTCACTTTTGGATTGTGATGCCCTTCTTCAATATCTATAAATATATTCATCAATTAATTTGATTTAGAAAGGCATTGGGCATTCGAATTGGATAATGGGTCAATTAGTGCACTAATGCCTTGTGTCGGATGCATGTCCTTAATTACCCCACACTGTTGTTGCTTGGCACCTAATTAAGTACCTCAACTCTCTCTCTCTCTCTCTCTCTCTCTCTCTCTCTCTCTATCTATCTATATATATATATATATATATATGAGACTACAACCAAATTTTAATATATCAAATGATATAATGCTTATATAAAAATTTAAATATGAGATTAATAGTATACTGATCAATTTGGATAACTTAAGAAAGACAGGAGTCAGTCATTATTTATATATTTTATCATCATAAATTATGTAATGATCTTAAATATGTTAGTGGATAAAAGAAAAAAAGAGATTTGTGTGTGTGTGTGTGTATACTTATGACGTCACCTCATCATCACACAATTACCATGAGCTTAATAAATGGAAAAAAAGTGACATAAATCCAATGAGTTTAATTAATGGACATTGTTCCAATTATATGTCTCCCAAATTAATATTTGAGGTGGCATAAAATAAAAGGCACCATCTTATTTATAACCAACTCCACCACCGACTCCTCCATTTCTCTCCTACCTTTTGCCCTTTCCAATTCCACCTCCACCTCCACCACCACTCCACAATGATCTCTCCCTCTTCTTCCTCGGCATCATCATCTAGGAAGAAGAAGATGAAGCGAGCGGAAACCAAGTGGCGGACCGCCGCGCAGGAGCGGATCTACCGCCGACGCCTCCTCGAAGCCCTCCGCGCCACCGCCTCGGGGGCAGGGCCGCGGGCCGTCAAGGAGGCGGCTGACTCGGCCCTCGCCCTCACCGCCCGGGGCAAGTCCCAGTGGAGCCGGGCCATCCTCCTCGGCCGCTGTCGCCCTCGCCGCAAGCTCCTCCTCAAGGCCGGCGGCAAGGTCCGCCGCGGCCGCCGACGGCCGAGGCCAGCGGCTCCGGTGCCGGTTGCGGCTGCGGCTCCGGCGGGGAAGAAGGTGAGGGACCGGCTGCGGGTGCTGGGCCGGCTTGTGCCCGGGTGCCGGCAGCTGTCGGCGCCGAGCCTTCTGGAGGAGGCGGCTGACTACGTTGCGGCGCTGGAGATGCAAGTGAAGGCGATGAGGGCGCTCGCGGACGCGCTCTCGGCGGCGTCGCTGAACGCTGCGGCCGCGGGTGAGGCCGAAAGCCGCGTGGTTTGATGGACTCCTCTCTGCTTTCTAATTGTACATGATCGATGTGGGTATGCTGTGTATAATCAATCATAAAGTCTATATACTACTTGTATATGCCCCACACAACAATGATGATGAATTAGATATTGTTGCTTGCAAACTATCTCACTACTTAATAATTTACTCTACAAAAGTGTTTTATGTTGGGATCAAATTAGCAATTGGGAATCGGAGATTTGAGATAATACAGACAGCCTTTGATTTCTGTGCAGGTTATGAAATCTTAATCCACTTTTGGTAGAGATGAGAGAAAGATGTTAGATTTTTTGTTTTGGTGGGAGTGTGATACATCTACAGGGCAATTAGGTAGCTCACATGACTTGATTCTTCTATGTTTTGGGGTTCTTTTGTTTGCTAGTATGTATGTGTTTGCAAATAGTAATCTTTGCATTTGGGGTGGTAAAAGTATTTAATTATCTGATGCTAAATAGAGACAAACTAGAACAAAGGTAGGGGTGTATTTTATACTTAAAGCTCAATTTAGGCACAGAAATAAAACTTATAACTATTACCAATGATGTCTCTATTAACACTCACATCTTCGACTATTACACATTCTTAAAAGAATCACTATCATACAATAAGCAATAATAATCAAAGATGGAAAATATGGGACTGTAGGACAAATTTATTTCAGACACCAATTCCATAAAGGATGTGGTTGAATTGTGACTACATACACAGGTGACAGTGACTTGGACCACAAAGGAGAAACAACAGACTAAAGAGATAGAAACAGCAGGAATTAGAACAGGGCAAGTGGTGAAGGTAGTAAAAGTGTTCTAATGGTAATCATGATGGAGTTGGCAAGCCAAGCATGAACTGCAGCAGGTGATGGCCATGCCCTCAAGGCGATCATCAGACAAAAGAGAGGAGATAACAGCTGCTTCTTTATTCTTCCTTCGATCGAAAGGGAAGGTGTCATCAGGCATGCATCCATCAGAAAAGAATCTGTGATTGCAAGTCCTTTTCATCTTTTATTTCCAGAATCTTGCGTCAAAATATCACAGTATATAGCAAAAGTATTTCTACTTGTTTATATCTCAGTCTGGTTTTTCTTCACTAGAGAATAATCTATGTTTTCTAGTATTGGAGAGTTCGAGAGAAACCTAAATCGGTGTGGAACAAGAAATGTTTTAGATTTGATTCTGACAACAGAATAAAATCCCAGTGTTATTTCACAGAGATCATCTTCTATCCTAACAGAGATAACTTGACCTTCCTCTTCCTGTATGTACTTCGCATATCGAGCTCAGCCTTCCATATAAGGTGGGATTACAGATCTATATGATTCCACTTCATTAGAAACAATTGATGCTATTAAAAATATGACAAGAGCACATCACAATTTCTAGCCAAAACACACTACCAACCTCCACGAGGAGAATCTTTTTGCCAATGGACTGTTTTCTTGAATGATTTCCAGCATTATAGATCCCCTCAAAGTCATGGTTGACAAGCTTTCTAACACGACGACGTTGGAGAAACCACCCTGTTATATATACATAAAGATCTCTCACGAGAGAGAAAAAATGAGATTGTTGCCTTTGATAACAAAAAGAATAAGCAAAACCTTCGTTGTCATCTGTACTCTGTCTCTGTGTCCTGCTTCCGTTCTCGCATTCGATACAAGTCTCTGAATAAAGAAGCTGACGAGTAAAAGGATCTTTCGGTGACCCTAGTTGTTTGCGTCAAGAGTTCACAGCTCCACTGCAAAATCGGGACAGTTTGCATTCAATCTCCATCTTCAGAATCTGTGATCGGGAAAGATGGATATCAGTAGTTTGCTTAGGCAGTGCCGGCAAGTAGTATCATGACTTGCAAAGCATAGGAAATATCCACAAAGAAAAAGTTCAGGTCCTGATCGAATGTCCTCACCAACTTGACCTTTATTACTCATCTGTCTCAGAATCATTGCAAATATTAGTTTCCACCTGTAGGTGAGGAAGACGAGGAGGGTAAGAAGCATCGGGTTGAATATATAATATAAAGTGGTTGGGAAATTGTCCATCCGTGACAAGGCTTGGATACACTCTTAGCTGGAAATGCAACCATTACAACAATTAGGAATCTAATAATAAATAATACGAGGAAGAAGAGAGAGAGATAGAGAGAAAGAAAGGAGGGCGAATCCAATAGAAAATGTTTCATCTTTGACTGATGCCTCGGCGCTAAAAATAAAGTGGGCGAATTTTCAAAAAAGAAATATTCTACAATTCAAAATTTTCTATATAGCATATTTATTTAAAAAAATATATAATTTTTTTTATAAATAATCATTTTATCATTGACTATTGTCAAACCTGCCATCGCCCCGCACGTCTTCACCACCATGTTCCCTCCCCATTTGTCCTATTGGATTTGTCTTGAAAGGGATTATCGTCGTCACACCCCTTCTTGCCCATGTGAGTGAGGGTGGCAAAAGTTGTCATTGCATATGATCTTTCCTCTCCTTTATCTCATTATATATGTTACAAAAAATGATCGTCATTATCACAACCCTCTTGTTCGTGCGAGAGTAAGGATTGCAGGATGATAAGAAATACAATGCAAGCTTGGTGGAAGGTGACGACATAGGAGTAAAATAGTATTTTCACATGAGCAAGTGTGTTTTACGAAAATTTTTCAAAGTAGGGATGTTCTGTTAGAAATTTTGAAAGTTCGGATTTTTTTTTCAAAATTTCACTCAAATAAGTTTATTGATTAAATATATAGATAATTTTATATTTAACGTATTACTTCTCTTATATATCAATGTTTTCTTATGCAATTATATTTGGCTCTTTTCATTAAGGGGGTTTCTAATTCCGAACATATCGTTGATTTGATAGCCAGCAACCTATCTATTTTCTCTGTTTTTTTTTATGGATTGGGGTGAACAAGTCTATCAAATTGGACTGGTTGTTAGTTATAGTATTTTTCTACTGTAACTCATATTGTAACTGATTTTTATTTTTAGATTGATTCCTAGCATAGGAATCATAAGTATTTATGTAACATTTTTTTCATAGAAATAAAATAGTAAAGATCATTGGTATTTTTTTTTAATATTTTTCAGTTGATTTGTCTTTTGTTATAATATTTTCTAATAAGATTATAGTATTTTTTTAAAAAAATATATACTAAAAACACCATAACCACATTGAAAAATATTATAACTTATATAGAGGACAAATTATTGGAATATTGATTTTTTAAAAAAAATGAAGAATCATACCTATTTGAAAACTGAGCAAAGATTCATAAGTATTTTATTAATGTATTTTGAGTCAATTTTCTTCTAACCAACCCACTGCTTCAATCTGTGTGTGTAATTGAATGTTACTTCTATGGTCCTATTACAATATGTTCCAAATATTTGTGAACATTGCTTGGGTTTCAAATAGCTTTGGTTATTGGTTTAAGTACATAAACATAGTAAGTTGACTTCTATATGAGTTACAATGTTTTTAAACAAGATTATAATTTTTTTTATGTATTTTTAAAAATATTATAATCCGATTAAAAAACATTGTAATATGAGGGAGATGAACTCAAAATATATTAGAAAAATATTTATGGACTTTGCTCGGGCTTTCAAATAGAAATAGGTATGGTTCTCTATTTTAAAAAATAAACATTCAAATAATTTTATAACATGGTTACAATGTTTTTTACACATTTTTAAAAACATTGTAATAATGGAAAATTAACTAAAAAAATTAGAAAAATACTTATTAAACTTGTTTATGTATGCTTATGAAAAAAGATTAGAAAATATTTATGATTGATAGATCTAATGCTCTAACACAGTATTCTATAGTAAGTTTGCTTTTAGAAATATATGAAAAAATATCTCCTACAAATCCAAAAAAATGTTACACAATATATATATATATATATATATATACACAATATATATATATATATATATATATATATATATATATATATATATATATAGCACTTCCATTAAATAAGAAAGACACAAACGAGCATTTTAATGATTACATCATCTCTTAAACATATAATTAAGATCCCAACTGATCAAGTGACACCAAAGGATTCTAAGATGCCGATAGTTGAAGTTTCATGTGGCAAGACCATTGGATAAAAATTAAACCATAAAAGGTTTCAACTAACTTAGTTGGTAAAGATTTGATAGCTTATCATAAGATCATAAACTTTAAATTAAAAATAAAAAAATCAAACTTTACACATGAGAATAAGATTTTTTAATTATCTTTCCCTCCACACAATATCGTAGCGAAATGATACTAAAAATTCAATGAAAAATATCAACAACAAAAAAAATCGAAAAGGATCACGAATATGCATTAAACATCTTCGCTACATCGCTTCGTGACGATTGGGCACTATGATATGGTGCGCTTGTTCGATGTCATTGATATGCACGACATCCTCCAAGACCTCCTCGAGCTCAACCATCTGCTTCTGCAGCCAGTATGTGCCATCACCTTCCTTCTGCACTACGGTTGCTATCAGGGCGATGGGACCCCTATCCAAGGAATATTCATTGAGATCGAGGAACTGATCCGATGAAACTCACGACGAACGCCCTCGAGCTTGGGCTTACCTCTTCACCTAAAGGATCAGTCCGTAGGAGTTAACTATGCTCTATTATGTCAAGGGCAATAAAAGGAAGGGGGACTGTTGAGAGATATTCCAAAAGAGGGACTTAGATTTTATAGTGGACTCTCTCTATATATAAATTAAAAAGGACAGGTCAAACATCCTAACAACATAGACTTGTCGATGAATTCCGAAAGTACAGACCACATTTGCAAATCAAAGTCTGGTGTTTTCTATTCCCTTTACTTTCTACTGAATAAAAGTCCTCTCAAAACACCACGAGTTTCGATTACGGTGCACAGTGTAGTTTAAATGAAGAAAAGAAAGGGGAGCAAACACTAATTGCGATATCAGTAAATAATGCAAGCAACTCATGTGCACAACCTCGTAACAAATCCTCCTCATTAATTCTATCGTAAATGCAAGAAAACGAGTTGTCATTTCTGTAACTTTCAACTTCCGGATCGGTAGATGCAAAAAAAACAAAAGCAGAGATTTGAACGAGTCAAGATTAGCCGATCCAACTTGCAGACGAAAACACAGATTATAAGGGAAAGCAAGCACGCCAGCAAAGCTTAACGAGAAATTACACGAGGGAAGAGCAGGGTTCTCTAGGGCTAGGAGAAGAGGGACTCATCGATTTCGATCTTGACGATCTCTCCGTCGTCGAAGCGGTCCTTCTTGGGAGGCGAGGGCGGCACCGGAGCCCGCGGAGGGCCTCTCCCCCTCGTCTTGTCCCGCGGCCGCGCCTGAGGGACACAGTCGTCACGCAGCTTAAATAAACAGTGGCGACGGAAGAAAGGAGAGGGCATAAAAGGAATGCTTGCTTACGTTTCCCAAGGAATGCTTGAACCGTTTCCCCTTCGCGGTCTTCTTATCTCCTCTGCCGCTTTAAACTGATCCACACGAGAAGATTGAGCGAAGGAAAAAGTAAGGGAACGGAATACCAGAGAGAGAGAGAGGGAAGGATGGAACTGTGGATCTTAACTGGAGGAGAGAGGAGGAAGAGGGAACGATGAGCCGCGGGGCGTGGCGGCCGAGGGAGGAGAAATCGAGAGGACGGAGCCGAAAACAAAATGGGCCGAATTGCTTCTTGGCCCAGCCCATTAACTTGGCCAAGATCACCGACTAGCCGAGGCGCGTGGCTTCCCAATGATAGTTTGACCAGATTGGAAAGGAGAGTTGAGGTTTGACAAAGGGCACGTGACTCCGATGATAAATGGACTTCAAAAACTGGACCCGTTAAGAAATCGGATGATAACAAACAGTTCATACGCGTACGGTATCATATCTTACCAGATCCAATTTTAATATCCAGATCACAATTGGATCCCATGATCCGCGGCTGTTCAAAGTCAGGAGATGCAACTGTATTTGCTGCAATTCCAATTACTTGTCATTGTATTTACACGACAATTAAAACCTACGTCCGACCAAATAGACCTACAAGGAGGAAATATTACAACATATTGTGATATGATGTTGTATGACCACTGAAATCATAGAAAAGGAAATTAAATGAAAGCCAAAAACCAATGCCGACTCTCTATGATATAAAATATATATACACATATCTGACATATATATATATATATATATCACCAAAACCAACTGTGTCGACTATCTATGACCTTCGTACTGGTTGCCACCAGAGGCATATGACCGTAAATTTCAGCAAACAAATCGAGGCATTGAGACCTTCGTTCACTGTGACCTCCCATACTACTGATGCCACTTGATCCTATCTCAAACATCCTGCCTGTAAAAATATATAGTTCAGTGACCTTTCTCAACCCAAGTCAATGTACTGATGGTAGATTTTTTAGGTAACAAACAAAGCCATAGTCAACGGAGTGCTTAAAGAAGTAGATAGATGCGTTGAATCTGTAAACGTTGAATTAGTTTGAGGAAGAACTAATTTAATCTGTACTATTATGTCAACACCATTCACTGTTATGATCCAAAAAATATTACAGTCCTCACCTTGCACCCATATTGGAGGAGCACCTGTTACGTTTGCAACGAGGAACGACATCGCAATATCTTCACAATTCCTGAAGCATAAATCACAAAGTTTAGAAGAACATCGGAAGAAAAAAAAAATTATAAATGATGGTTTCATATTTTAATTTCAATCGGAAGGTAACACCACTATCCTCACCTGTGCTCGGTTACGTAATGACGGATAGATACAGGCATGTGATTTGTATAGAGATGAAGATACTTCTTGTGGAAAAATGCTGCCTTAGAGAGCACCATACTGTACGTGCCCGTCCACCAAACAGACCACCAGCCTCCATACCTGTAACGTTCCTTGTTTTCTTTCTGCACAAGAAACTACCATGCTTAGGATTAATCTGAAACAAAGTTAATGGCAGAAGAAACAACAGAAGAAAGCGAAGATCTCGGTAACCAGCCACATCTTCTCGGATGAAAGGGTAAGATATGAATGGTGTAGATTCTATATGCATATTGTAAAGAACAAGCACGGTATGAATCATAAAAGCAGAAGATAGATTTAAGGAGTTTAATTGTCGGATTAGTCCCATACTCTTTTACAACTAGATATGATCAAAGGATTACAAAAAAACGACAGGAATCAGAATGAGCTTACCACTTTATCCGGCCAATGCATGCGAGGTACAAACCCTACCATTGCGGTAGGGGCACTTTGCCACACACTGAAAGCCAACTCTACAGATGTGCAGGGAAATAGAACATCATCATCAATCGAAAAGATAGCATCTGTCTTTATATCCATGATTTCTTTGAATCTGTTGTTTAGACTGTCTTCTTCATTTATGTCGAATTTTAGTTCAATACCATTGCAGCTTTTACAATTTAGTTGTGCGGCTTCCCATAAAGCATGACGTAGGGAATCTGAAGGTCGATCGGGCTCGCTCCATACGATGCGAATAGACTCGACACCGACGCAAGAAGCATAATGAACGACAGATTGCTTTAGAAGGTCATTTCTCTTCCATGTGTTCATCACTATAGTGTACCCTCTCCTGTGAAAAGCAATGGTTATAGCATGTTAGGTGAGCCTCGGAACAAGTATTTGTTTGATTACAGAACAAGGGTTGAAAATTGGAGGTTTCTAAGTTCTGATGTGTCTCTTAATCTGTGATGAGTTTTTCAGACCTTGGATCATTGTTCCTCACAAAGCAGACAGTTCAAAGTTAAAGCAAAGAAATGATATCGTATAGTCCATTGTTGCCTTCGGATAAATGAATAGACAGACCAAGCTTTTAATTATATTTTAACAAGTTTAACATCCCGACATCAAAAACATAAAACAACCAATCCACTATTTTCTTACATCTCCGTGGATGCACTTTGCGAACAAACATCCAAGTAAAATTTAAAGATTCCTATTTAGGTTTAATTAGATCTTTCTTCTTGATGGTTAAGATGACAAGCGCATCATAAGTTTTATATATTCATCGAGTAAATCTATAATATTAAAATTAAAAAAGCATAAGAAGTCTTATGTGATCATTTGTTAACTTTTGAATCTTTTTATTTAAGGATATGAGTGTCGGGGAATTTAAAAATAATATATGTAAAAGATTGTATTGTCAAGATGTAAATGTGTAGAATGATTAGAAAGAAATTAAAAATAAAATAAGACATAATTGTTAAGATTTTAAGAATATGAAGACCTACATATGTGATATAATTAGAAGATATAAAATAATTATCATCAATAGTATAATGAGAGGTCAAGAAAGACTAAAAAGACTTTAATAAAAATTTTAAATGTTTTTTTATTTAAAAAGATCTCAAATATTTAATTAAATTTTATTATTATTATTATTATTATTATTATTTATTATTATTATTATTATTATTATTATTATTGTTATTGTTATTGTTATTATAGTAGATCTTTCTCCTTATTACAATATTTTATCTTACAAAACTCTTGGCTCCCAACAAGTCTTAGTCTCTATGGTTGATTACACAGACACTAAAAGAAAAATAAGAAGATAAGAGAAGAGTTGACTGATTATTTATCGTTGATTCTGTTAGGTCTAGCTCATTTGATACACAAAGAGAGAAAAAAATTATTCAGCTTTAACAAAATTTTCCTAACAGATTACATCATTTTTTTATATTTTGAATTATTATTATGATTATTATTTATTTAAAGTGTCACTTGGGACCATCTGCCACAAGAGTTGTAGTGTGAGAGGATTAAAAACCGAAAGGGATCGAGTACATACCACCAAGCTAAACTAGATGGTTGGATATATAATTTATCATTTATTCAATTAAGTTTTATGCTGAGATTGACTTCACAAATCTCATGAATTAATTATCTCCAGGACAAGAACAAAATTCATTGAATTTGGAAAAGAAAAAGTTGATGGAAGTGCAAAGGACACTTGCGGCCAATAAAAGAGCTTCTAACAGTGACCGATCTCTATGATCGAATACTGAGAATACAGGATCGGGAACCGGAAGCATGTAAGAGAACAATAACTAGTGGACATCTTCCCAACAACTAATATTAGCTCCTAAGAATCATGTACTGTAGTCAAGACTGTTGGCACCCTGCAAATTTGTCATCGGGCACGACAGTACCTATACGTAATAGAAACCTGTAAAGTGGTTCGATCGACGCCAAGAAGGTTGATTCCAAGATCGTGTGGTTGGTGCTCATATAATTTCGTCTCTGGGAGGTATACTTACCCACTATGATAGAGACTCCCACATGACAGGGAGAATATTAATGACATGTTAAAAAGAACACCCAATGTTGACACTTAATACTACAGTAGCTCAATATTCATAAGAAGAAAGCCCAAATATCATACATGTGTCAGGATACCAAAGCTTATGATTCGATTTAGGACACCATGTGGATATATTCTCCGAAGCAACTTTGCCTATATATTCCGATATATTAACTGTTGATTGAGTTAGCAGATATCTTGGTCGCTTTACTGTCAAGCCGCTTTTGAAGCATAATAGCGGCATATGAAATGAAAAGGTAAGCAAAAAACAGTGGTATTGGAGTCTAAATCAATTTGATTTGGACCACCATATATGGAGATTTGGGTCAAATTCAATGTACTCGGATCTCTTAGCAAAGTGAGATTAATTTCTACCCTTCTCTCTCCATCGACATCTCATATATGATTATTAATCCTAAAAAATGGTTCTGAACGATATACGTATCTTCGATAATACCCTGCCTCCTGGTGATAATAATTGAACCATGAGGGAAGCAGGACAAACCATGGGTGATAATAAATCATTTACCCCAATAATATGGTGCTTTAACAACTGTAATTAGGTAGAGATATAGGGGCATGAAAGCTTCAGAGCAACCCATTAAAGAAAGAAAAGGGAATAAATCCACATCTATAAAGAACGTATTCGAGATGTCATGCTAATTTCTAGGTAGTGCAAATTAGTGATGATAATTGAAAAGAAGAAGAAGAACGGACCCGGGAGGAGGCGACGATCCGGAATAGTGTGAGGGGCGGCAGCAAAGGAGGAGGAGGAGGATGAGAACGAGGAGAAGGGCGAAGGCGACGCACCAGAACAGGAGGAGTTTGATCTTGAAGGAGGATCCGGCGGGGAGCTGACGGAGTCTGAGAGGTATCCTCCGGCTGTTTCCGGAGGATAAGAAGAAGAGGCGAAACCCTCCTCCGCCTCCTCCTTTCATCGCCACAGTATCTCACGCCAGGAAACACTACACCGCCACTCACATACCCACCCCTCGTCTTCTCTTTCTCCCTCTTTGAACCGCGGCTCCTCACGCTCCGGCGCCTGGAGCGAGTAAAACACCGAGCGACGATGGAAGTCGGAAGTTGAACGAGGGGCGAAACCACCCGATGATATCCCACGCTTAAATAGCCCGCTCGAGCCTCCCCCTCCGTCCCCGTTAGTGTCCGGTTTGTTATCCACGTAGTTGTCATCAACGAACCCACGGAACACACTCGCACGAGAGCCCCGCCAATCCACTGTCACCGATCAAGGTGGCGATTGCCAGAATCGACGGCCACGATCATTAGGGTACGTTTGCAAGTTACTTCCATGAGTGCATAATAATTCCTCTTTCATCCTACCGCAGCCGTACATTACTCCGGTGGGTAGAGAGCTTTCCCCCAGATATGTGCCACGTGTTATCGTAGACAGGACAACAGGGAAACGAGTGTTCTCATCTGGTTAAGTGAGGCAAGAATTGCATAGAAAAAAATGATTTGGAATACAAAATCCAAATGGGAAGTCAAATCGATAGCTAGTCAAAACAACTTAAAAGGAGAGGAAATAACTATACATTTGGTGGAGAAAAAGAGGATCGCTTCCGGACGCACTGAAGTACGTCCCGTGGAATAAGATGAGGTACGACAAGTATACAACAGGAAGTCTTCCACGGAGTATGCAGTGCACGTTATGATGTGCCTAATGCATGCCTTGGTTTGTGAAACTAAGTTTAACTACACTTCGGACATATTTCTATGGCAATAGTTTATTGTCTTGACATTTACAGTACGTAAGAGTGTATGTTAGGATTTCAAATGATAAGAAAGCAATTAATCCTCAGTTTTGACTCTTTTATGTCTTACCAACATGGAGAGTTCTTGTCAGATTCCAAAAGAGATGCCGGAGCTTTCTAATCTTTGATTTGTTCTGCTGGAACATTCAAGATACGGTGCGAAGCAAACGCCACCGCCCTTCCAGAAACGTAAGGCTCGCCTCTTTCGTGCGACAGCATGCAACCGCGTTATTGGCTCGTCGAGAAAGCCGGAGGACGACGGCTGCTGAATTCCGTGAGCGTCCGGCATGATCGAAGCACAACGTGAAATGGATTGGTTTCAGGAACGGTGAGGGCTCAAAGCGTACGTCGCCGTCCTCCTGCCTCCTCTACAGTCAACGAAGATTACTCAACCCAACTTTGTTTGTACTCTCCAAGACAGCGATGTCGAAAGCAACTCCATCGAGAGGAAGAGTTGGCTCGCCGTTGAATCTTCTCGTAGCGAACGAGGCAGGAAGCTGCAACTGACGTAGGAATCATGCGCTTCCGTCTCTGAGAACACAAGAAACAGGTAATGCCATAGAATTCATAATGTGAGAGCATTCTTCCGTCCCAAGCAAGCTAGTTTTTGTCATTGTCAATTCTAGAAGAGAATCGACTGGAATTGGTTTGGACTTCTGATGGCATTAATTATCACTTGTCGATTGAAAGAATTCGTGCTTCTTTTGACATTGTCATATGAGCATTGCTTCGCCCTTTGTGCAGGGATGATGACTAGCAATCTTCCCCAGCACGTGTCGGCCGGACCAGTTTTTGATGGTGTCGGTCGATGACTGTTGTTTGCCAGCAGTGAGATGGACACAACTTGGGTTGCCACATGTAAAACATTATTATGGAGGACTAATATTTCAAACATGCAGATATTTAAGGGACTCGTACATGGGCAGCTTAGTAGACGTTGACGACTGGCACGTGACACGGAGTTAAATACAACGTTCTGTGGCCTATAAAGCAGAGAGAGATGGGACCCACTAAATGCCCTCATGTGGTGTACATGATGACGAAGCACGGCAGTAGCGCCCTCGGGCTGAACACCAACAGCTCATTCTCACCGACACCGTTGTCGTGGGGCCCCCCGCCGCCGCCCAGCCCCGTCGGCACCACCGAGTCGAACCCCGCCCCCTTCCCCTCCTCCTCCTCTTCATCCCCTTCCGCTGCCCCGCCGCCGTGCCCGTGGGCCACACGCCCGGCCACGACGCGGCACACCAGCATCGCCCGCCGCGCGCCCAGGAAGGCGAACTCGCGCTCCAGGTCCTGCGGCAACGCGCCGTGCGCGCCCCAGCTGGTGGCGTGCGTCGCGATCCCATCCAGGTCCGCGTGCTTCCCCGCGAACCCGTGCCTCACGATGGCGCAAGCGCAGCAGTACGGGCTCCCGCACACGCCCGCCGGCGCCACGTCCCCGCCCCGCCCCGCGTCCGACGAGCAGAGGCTCGTGGTACAGTAGAACCTCAGCCGCTCGTTCCCGTCCGCGATGCAGCGCTCGTCGCCGCCGCCGTTCCTCGCCGCGTAACGTGCCGCTCTCGACCGAACTGCATCGCGGTACTCCTCGTACCACGCGAGGGTGCGGGTCGTGTTGTGGATCTTCAGGACCCGGTGGACGATGGGCGACTTCCCCTTCCACCCCGACTGGAAGATGATGCGGACGATGTTGTAGCCCGAGTCGGCCTCGCAGAGCTCGGAGAGGGAGTGCTTCGTGGCCTGGTGAAGCTCGAGGAGCTGATGCTTGCTCAGCACCTCACCGCATGCCGCGCACGGATAGACGTCGTTTCTGGAGGCGAACGAGTCGTGCTTGGCGGTGGACCCGGAGAAGACATGTTCCTTCCCATCCCCACCGGATTGCGTGCCGCCGGCTCTGGCATCAGGCGACAAGGGGATCGGTTGGAGAGGGCTGGAAGGGCAAACGGGTGCATCGCCGGGCGGGTGCAGCTGCGGTTCTTGATCCTTGCCTCGAGGTCTGCGGAAGGAGAGGATGCAGCTGAGATAGGATCGGATGGAGAAGGATTTGAGGGGCTTCGCATCGGGGTCGGAGGAAACCAGAAAGGAGGGGGAGGAAGGGGAGACCTTCCTCCTCTTGGGCGGCGGAGGTTGTTCCTCTGCGTTGTTGTTGCAGGGGAAGAAAAAGCAGCCCAGGTGGAGGAAGAGGAGGACGAAGAGGGAAAGCAAGTTGCTGAAGTAGGATCTTGCAGTCGTCATTTCGTCATTGGAATGAGAGAAGAGGGGAGAGGGAGACGGCCATGGAAGAGGAAGCAGGCTATGGATGGGGAAAGGTCTATTGCCAAGCTGCGAGCTACGAGTAAGAAAGGGTGTGGAGGACGGTGGCCAGAGTGTTGCATTCATTGGGTTCTATCCGCCTTAATCCGGACCTGGACCAATTGTGACACGATGAACCGACCCGATCCGATCCAGTTATAGGAACTGTTCGAGGGTCGATTCGGTGCAGATCAGCCCAAGGCAACACGTTCGGTGGGACTTCGCTTGCAAATTTATTTGCGGTTGGTGGTTCGTGCACACTAGGAAACAATGAGTCAGCCCCATGAGAGCCCCAACTACTGGGGCAGATGGCCCTGATCAATCGATCGATCGATCGATCAGTGAGAAAGCTAGGTTTCTTGGATCACATAATCGTAAGCCAGCGTGTTTTGATTTGATTTGATACCGACACGAGGTAAAATGTACCCATTCGAATCAGATTAGTAATAGGATAATATGAAATTACTTTAGGCCCAAGTTTTATCTTTTGGTAAGCATTTGAGCCCAAGATTGTATTGCCGGCATGGTTTCACCATCATAGGGACATTGGACGGCGAGGATGCAATATCCATTCTAACACACTCGGTTCGTAGTCTTCTCTCCTACTAAGAGGCTCGGAAGCCGTCGCTTGCAAGCATGGCTAGATAGGTCGCCTGAGAGAGCCTGCCGCCAAGGTGTTCGACGCCAAGACCTCCGCCAGTTATTTCATGTACAGAGAAAAGAAGACGAGATATGCGTCAATGCTGATGCCACAATCTTGCAGCATTTGGCGACTTATGGTATGATGATCATGGATAAATCCTTTGATAAGGAAAAGAATTCGAGGAGGAAAATTCCATAGACAGTGATGTGGCTAAAAGATAAAAATGGTCCTGCCTCAGGAGCATAAGCTAAGCATTTCGACAAACAGGTGCTACACGAGAGAGATGGCCCTGGAAAGATCTGAGCTCTCCCACACCTCGACACCTTCCACCCCTTCCCTGCTCAGGAAAAGACGATCCCCACCTCCTTCCATCGCTTTGATGAGCCCTCGCCTCGCGTCTTCCTCCTTGTCCACAAAGATCCTACGGAACGCATTCTCGCAAACAGCTGCCTCCGTCTCCCGATCGCTCCGTCGTCGTCCTCCTTCTTTATCCATTATCTGCGACCACACCTCCAGTCCCGCTTCCCTGCCCACGAACACCTGGTTCTTGTAGCAGCGGAGCACGCTGTTGGCCCCTTCCCCGGCGCTCCTCATCCCGGCGGCGGCGCTCCGCTCCTCCAGGTACACCCAAGGGTCCTCCCCCAGCCGCCGCATGTCCGCTACTGCCACGTCCCCCGACCGCCAGCAAACCTTGTAGATGGCCGAGCCCTCCCGGTCCACGTCGGCGTCCGCGAACGAGTCCCCGAACCGCCGGCTGCTGCTCCCCGCTCCGGGCTCGTTCGTCTCCCACACCGCCTCCCCGGACCGCGGGTCCCAGAGCCGCATGTAGCCGGCGTACCCGAACGCTCCCGCGCTCACGGCCGCCGCGAAGACCAGCCCCCGCTCTCGCACGTGCACCAGCCGCCCCGGCGCCGCCGCCTTCGCTGCGCTCCCACTCTGCCGCCCGATCGCCGCCGTCGGTAGCAGCGTCGCCGGATCGACCGCTAGGATGCAGTTCTCCGGGTGAGGGCACTCGAACGCCGCGTACACCGGGTCGTCGGGGCCGGACCACCCGGCAGCGATCGCGGTCACCCTGGCCTTGTACACCCGGTGATCGCCCGGGTCGGACCAGTGGACGGATCCTACATGGCGACCGCCGGAGACGTCGTAGAAGTGGAGACCTGGGGAGTCCAGCGAGCCGGCCGCGGCGACCTCTGGCCACACGCGCTGGAGGGCCGTGATCTCGTCCAGATGCGTCCGCACGGTCCCGGTGTGGGCGAGGCTCCAGTCGTAGGCGGAGATCTGGCCGCCATGGGCGATCCAGACGGATCCGTCCTCGGATCCTGCGGACAGTGCGGTGGGGAAGGCGTCGGATGCGGGGCGGAGGGTGGCGACCAGGGTGGCATCGAAACCGACCAGTGGCGGCGGGGACAGAGCCGACCGGAGGCGGGCCTCGACGCCGTAGTAGAGGGCCTCTTCGAGGAGGTCCTGGTTGGAGAAGCGGCTGAGGACAGAGGAGGGGAGGCGACCGGAGCGGAGGAGGGAGAGGAGGGTGGAGAATATCTCGGGATCTCGGTCGATGAAAACGGGTGAGGGTTCTTCATCGGAGTCAGGGTTGGCGCGGAGGCAGAGGGCCGCGAGAAGGGAGTCGGGCCCGCCGGATTGGAGAGTGGCCACGGTGGTCTCGAAGAGCTTGCCGCCGACGTCGAGGACGACGCAAGCGTTCGGTTGCGAGGCCAGGGTGACATGACTGGAATCCCTTCCTTCCATCTACTCCTCCTGCTCTTCTTCTTCAGCTGGGGAAAGAAGGCACTTAGATCAAGAACAAGGCAGTCGAACTCGAGGGGATGAACAAGTTGGACTCGCTGTCGACACTATGACTTTGGGCTTCAACCTTCAGGGTCAGGACTCGCACGCCATGGACTGGTCAACGTATTCCCCTTGCGGTCTGCACGATAGCAATAATTCACACACACACACACACACACATAAATTTCATTTAAGGTTTTTCTATCCTATTTTAGTTATTTGAATTACTTTCATGGTATTTCAATTTCTATGCTATATTGATAATTATCGACTCTCTCTCTAAGGACCGACGACCATAGAGTAATCAAAATAATCCAAATTCAATGGAGCTCTGTTTTGGTCTCGAGTCAGTAATAGTCGTTCTTGGCCGATAGATTCTAATTACACTTCCATGGACTCGGTGAATCTATGGATGCATATTTGCCTGTTCCGTTGACCGTGTTGAAGCCCATGTTGACCTTTCCCCCGCGGTCAGGCGCCGTCTGCTCGCGGAGACGGCTGCCGCATGCGGACGGTGGGAAGGGCCAAACCGCGGCAACAGTTGCTGAGGTCAAATATTGCCGCGGGAATCAGAGAAGCAGCTGCAGCAGGCGAGACGCGGCAGTGGATTCGAGGACACGGGGATACGAGACCGCAGCCACCTCCCCGAGACACACGTATCGGCGAGGACAAAGGAGCCGGACATGAGAACCAGGTCCCGTAGCCCTCCTCGGCCGGAGGCCTCCGTGCTGCGAGAGGGAGGAGGAGGAGGAGCGGACAAGCCCTCGCGACGAACGCTACAGGACAGAGACGAACCCTCCTCTCTCGTGGTGGTTATCGGCTTTTGGTTGTTGTGATGCCCGGTGCGGAATCCGAGAGGCCTCCGAACTCGGACCCTCGTCGCGGGGAAGCTGGC